TCTTCTTCTTCTTCTTCTTCTTCTTCTTCTTCTTCTTCTTCTTCTTCCTCTTCCTCTTCCTCTTCCTCTTCCTCTTCCTCTTCTTCTTCTTCTTCTTCTTCTTTTTCTTCTTCTTCTTCGTTTCTTTTGTAGATTGGGTCTTGCTCTATGCCTCATGCTGGCTGACAATCACAATCCTCCCACCTCTGCCCTCTAAGTATGGGATACTTAGCATATGCCACTGAGACCAGCTCAAATGTTTCATTATTAAACATGTAAAATTTTATTTCAGAAGACAGGACTATGGGCAACTCTTGTATACCCAGAATGCACTTGTGAACCCAGAACTCACTTGTAGTCCCAAAACTTGGGAGGTAAAGGAGGAAGATGAGGAATTCAAGGCCAGCTAACTAATGAGTTCAAGACATGCCTAGGTTTTGGAGACCCTGTCTCAAACCATCTCCCCTCCTCCCCCACAGGGCTGTGACAACAAAATCGCTAACTTTTCCCCACTGCTCATCAAAGAGCAGAGCCAGGGCTTTAGAAAAACACTGTTGGCTTCAAGGCAGAACTTTAGCAACTTCAAAATCAATCATCAGAAAGGGTTTGAGAAATCCATCAGGAGGGGCTGAGGCTTATTCTGAACTTTATGATTACCCCTTTATGAACAAAAAACCAAAACCAAAACCAGCCAACCAAACAAAAAGTACTAAGCAGAGGTTCCTTCTTATGAGTTGGTGACATAGCAGAACTTGAGTAAGACCCTTGTAAAGATCACATAACCAGAGAATATGCAACCAATAACTTTAATGATGCAATTTTAAAAACTAAAGTAATAAAATATATGATGGAATAGAATTTCTAATGCCAATAAGTTTCCAAGGGGACCTTTACAGGAACTCTGAGTGCTGAGGATGGAGCTCAAGGACATAGTGATTGGGCTAGCCCATGCTAGTTACTGTGTGGGATCAAAGCTCCAGAAACTAACAATTAAGCAAATAAAAGCACAGAACAATGAGCTATGATATTCTCTAACTAGTCACCTACATGCAGGCCTAGGATATGAGTCTGAGACATGATCCAAGAAAACACAGTCTTAACTGTATAAAATGAGTATATTTGCCGGGCGGTGGTGGTCACGCCTTTAATCCCAGCACTCAGGAGGCAGAGGCAAGTGGATCACTGTGAGTTTGAGGCCAGCCTGGTCTACAAAAGCTAGTTCCAGGACAGGCTTGATAGCTACAAAAAACCCTGTCTCAAAAACCAGAAAAAGTAAAAGAGTGTATTTCTTTCTGGGACATACATTGCTTGATTTTGCCAAGTACCTTTTTTAGGATCACAAATAAAATGCATCCTATATTAATTAAGTCATAGAAATATATTTTATTTCTCACCAGTGATTTCCATTCTTGAGAGTTAGAGGCAGAGGAGGATCAAAAGTTTGAGGTGATCCTTAGAAACCTGAAGAGTTTGAGGCCAGTCTGGGCTAACTTAGACCCTGTCTCAAAGAAAAATTACCTTATTCCTTCTTTGCCCCTCCTCAGAGAGCACTTTGAATTAAAATGTTTTTAAGATAAACAATTGAAAGTGATTGAAATAAGCAAAAATGCACAAAAATGCAATGAAGGCTAATTATGACTAGCCATCCTACATGGAAATCTCTGGTTCTGATTTTTTAATTAACCATTCATTATCATAGCCATACATGAGTACTTACCCAATATTTGTCCATGACTGGCATGCATGTGTTCGCATCCCTTGCCTGACATTCTCTTTTAGATAATGTTTATTTAGCCATAAGTTTTGAAATTCATACAGGTTAAGCAAGTTCTTTGAAGCTATAATTTACCTGGTTCTCTGCTCATTACATAACCCATAATCAAAAAAGACCAAGGATTGTCATCTCTTCTGGCACCTCTGGCCTCCCCAGCATCCCCCAGCTCATCCACTCACTTACCTGGGAGAAGAAGTATGAGGCCTGAAATGAAGACTTGAGGCTGCATCATGGTGCTGACCTGGAGGACAATGAGAAGACGCTCTGGTAGCTGTGGCACTCAGTGCGCTGTACCCAGGCAGGTCTGCATTCTGACTGTGACTCACACAGGCCTCTCTGCCAGGGACCCTGCTCTCCCCAACACCCTCTTCTTTCCTGGTCTTTCCTCACATACAGCCATCAATCTCACTTCTGGTCATGACATAAATAAGGCAGCAAACAGAGAAAACTGGAGGCAGAGACAAGAGTGTGTTCTCTTGGTAGAACTCTAAGCAGAGACCAGCCCTCTAACAGCAAAGATGCACTTGCCTCCCAGTGGACACAGAGCTGTTTCTGCCCAGAAGATACAGGGGTTAGTTCCTGAATCTCAACTGCCTTACTCACAAGCAAGATGTCCTGGGTCAGAGTGCTGCTACATACAGTGTCTGATACCACATCTTCCTGGGGGATATTAAGGAGGATGTTACATGTCTTCAGATTCCAACATCTGGAATTCAATGTTCGTTTCTTAAACAGTAAGCCATAAAAGCATGAGTAAGCCTGCCTAGTACTTCATTAACTCCATTTCTTTCCATCACTTCCTCTCAGAGAGGAAAGTTTGCCCTGTTACCAGTCTTCAAGATGGAAATAACTATCTTACTTTTTTATCATGGTACCATTCTGTCCCTTTAGATTTCTGTTGACAAAGGGTTGTGTACTTGGGCATTCACTGTCTCACACAGTCTGCTACCCTTCTTGACACAAACTGTCACTGAGCCATCCCACAGGGTGTCCTATCACCTACTTGCTCATAAAATGAAGGGAACAGACAAGGATGGTTAATAGCTTTCCAGGTTCCCAAAGGAAACATTCTCCACATTCTGAATTCAACTGAGTAACTAGGTGAGCTCTAAAATGGAGTAAACACCTTGATGGTGGCTGGAAATCCTTTCATTTTCTGTCTTTCCATGCTTAAGAAGAACACTTGAGCTCATCTCAACTACTGAAGTTTGAGTTGTAGCTCCCTGTAGACACCTATGAAGATCCTACAGGGAGACTATGGAGGGGTGGAAAGTTGAAGATGACGAGCCACAAATAGCGTAAATTCTCTCTGTCCCCCTCAGTAGCCGTTTACTACCAACTCCTGCATCTCAGCTAACATCCTTGTGACAATCAGGAACAACTTCTGGAATGTATTGTTACATTTCCACAGAGTTAACTTTCACCAACTCTATAGCTAAGAATTATAGAACACTAGAAGTCTATAAAGAGATTCCTGGGTTCTGTTGTGTCACATCTGCCTGATGTTTTTATGAGGGTCCTTGGAAAATGCATCAATTTATGACTTCCTTTTGTCCTGGGACTGTAAACATTCATGTAGCCTCTTCTACAGCGGAGCATGAAATTGATAATAAAACAACCTGAGCCTTGGTCACTAAAAATTGGATCACAATAATCCCTATTTTTTTTAATAAGAGCAGCATTTTTCTAATTCACTAAAGATTATATTTAAATAGTTTTTGTGTCAGGCAGTGCATGTGCATGCCAGGGAACACACATGGTCAGAAGACAACTGTGGGTAGCTGGTTCTCTCCTTTTAAATGCAGGTTGTGGGGGTTGAACTCAGGATTGGTGAGAAACACCTTATCTACTCCAGGGCAGCATTTTGCACTGTCAAAAGCTAGGAGAACCAATGCTAAAGTGGCTCACACAGAATTAAACCATGCCTGCTTAGTTTCGCAAGACAAAATGTTATAATGCTAGATTTCCTATAACCTAGGATTAGGCCAAAGCCCAATGTCCATGGGAAGGATTTTTGAAAAGATTTTTATTTCAATGCAGTTACCATTAATAAACTAAGGATAGGGGAGTATGATTCAGCACAATAGGGATGTAAAGTATCTAGAATTGTGCAAGCAACTCACCACGGGAAAGTGAGCAACCAACAAATAAATTCACAAACAATGAGACAGCTGTAAATGTGTAATCAGACCATGTCACGTCCCTCTGACAGCCCTACCTCAACTCTCTCAAGGAGCAGAGAACCCAATTCTCTAACCAGAGATTTTGCAAATGTCCTGATTATCTAGTCCCTGACAATTTAGTCCCTGCCTAAGGCTCAGATTTGCTTCTCTGACCTGTGCCACAGTCACACGGGCTTTCTTTCTAATTCATCTCCTGAGGTCTTTGTCCAGGTGGTGCTCTGCCTTGGCTCTTCTTTTACCCCACAATTTTCACTTTTTCTTCCCTCCTACTGAACACTGTTTAATAGTCTGGGTTATTTCCCCTGGACCACTTGCACCCAGCCCCTCTCAGTTGCTCATGGCTATCATGTCCTCGTTTCCCCGAACACCCACCAGTGTGGGTGTGATGGCCTGGTCTCTGCATCTCTTCCCTCTTGGCCAGTGCCACCAAGTAGAAACTTTGTTGTTCTTACTCTTTGCTTTAGCAGAGCTGACATGAGTTCATTAAGGCAAAGAGAAAAGGAGATCCCAAGAGTAGAGGGGCCCCCAACGAGGAATACTGGAGTACTCTAGAACTCCCCCTTTTTGAGAGAGTTTTCTCCCAACCTCTCTCTCTCTCTGTCTCCTCTCTCTATCTCTCTATCAGTTAGTCTGTCTGTCTTTCTATCTATCTGTCTGTCTGTCTGTCTCTGTGTGTATGCATACATGGACACACACATTACATATAAATATAAATTAATATACATATATATGTCTCACCTGAAACACACTAAAAGTTCCACTTAACACTCTTGACAATCTTCCTGCCTCTCCCTCCAGCATGCTGAGAATACAGTAGTGTGCCACCATGTCCAGTCAATAGGCCCTTCTCCCACATGGGTGTTGTATAAATGAGCTCTGTGCAGTATTGTTGTGGCCACCAGGAATGATTTAGAACTTCAAATGTGGCTAGTACACGTGAGTAAAAATTTTCTTTTGAGACAGGTTCTCTATATGTATCCCTGGCTGTCCTAGAACTCACTCTGTGGACCAGAATGGCCTCAGACTCACAGAGATCCGCCTGCCTCTGCCTCTCAAGTGTTGGGATTAAATGTATGAGCCACCCACCATAGCCAGTTAGATTGAGAAAAATTTTAAAAGATTTGTTTTTATTCTATCTTAAATTATAATGTCTCTGTGTGGCTCTGTGCACTTGGGTGCAGGTGCCTTCTGAGCCCAGAGACAACGGGTCCCCTCCCTAGAACTGGCTTTACAGGAGGCAGCTCTGAGTCATTTGATGTGGATGCTGGGAACTGAACACACATCCTCTCCAGGAGCAGTACAGGCTCTTAACTGCTGAGCCATCTCTCCAGCCCCCAGTTGAGTAGACTTCATTTTAGTTTTCCATCTAATTTGATTTTTAATTACTTAGATATCACACAAGGCTACAGTGCTGGATGGCACCCAAGCATAGGTTAGGTATTCCTCTGAGGTCATTTAAGAGTGGAGAGAAGACATGAACAAAAGGAAATTGAAGGCTGTGAGGAGAGACAACTCCCTCATGCAGGGTTAGCAGGGTAAGAGGATAGGAGACAATCTCTTAAAAATGGACATGTGACCTGGGCGGTGGTGGCACACGCCTTTAATCCCAGCACTCAGGAGGCAGAGGCAGGCAGATCTCTGTGAGTTCGAGACCAGCCTGGTCTACAAGAGCTAGTTCCAGGACAAGCTCCAAAGCTACAGACAAACCCTGTCTTGAAAAAAAAAAAAGTGACATGTGAGAGTCAGGAGAGATAGATCCTGGCTGTGATCCCAGCACCTATAATGCTGAGGCGGGAGGGTTGCCATTCGTTTTAGGGTAGCCTGGACTACATAGTAAATATCAAGCTAGACAAGGCTATAGAGTAAGATGCTGTCAATAAAGGTAAAAGCAATGTGTGATATAGTTCTGTAATCACAGCAGTGGAGAGGTTGAGGTAAGAAGAATGACAATACTGAGCTATCCTGGGCAATAAAAGAAGAAAAATATAAAGAAGCAAAACCAAAGCATGTAACAGGAGATGCTAAGATCCTAAGGAATAGATGTGAAGGGCAGAAGTGTGGACAGGATGAAGATGGGAGCTGAGGAGCTGATGTATTAAATAGCCACAAATACTTAGGGTTCACTTTCTCCACCTTAGCTTATAGGCTCCCCCAAGACCAAGCACTGTATCCCAACATTTGCAGAGAACATAACCCAGTGGATATAAGTAAAACCTTATTATTTTATTTGTTACTCTTGTAATAAACTAACTGCTGTTGTCTGTGGATGGGCGCACACCATGGAACTATGGGAAGGAGAAAACACCTATCAGAAGTGGTTTCTCTCCTTCCACCATTGTTAGGATTCCAGGATCAACCCGGGTGTCCAGTTGACCAAACACTTTGATACCCTGAGCCTTCTCAGGGATAATGGGATTTTTTTTTCTTGTTATTGTTAATTTGAGCTTTGCCGTCTCCTGAGTCACTACATTTTAGGGTCAACCGTGGCATCCTTTAGAGGTTACTCCTCACTTGTAGGGGAGTACTGTGTGACAACAGGGCTCAGGAATGCACCAGAATTCCCAGTTCTTTACTAAAGAGCTTCATATGTGGGAAAATGGGGATCACACACCGCCTAAACCCACCTCAGCTGAGTCTCTGTTCTTTCTTGCTTCTGCCCACTGTGAAAGAGTTCAGCTGCTTGAATTCACTTTATTTTCACCAAAACAAGACACCATTGGTCCCCCTGCAATACTAGGTCCTCACTGAATCACTCCATTGTACCTCAACCCACCACTTCATGTTAGGACTCTATCCACGACCAGATCCTGAAATCCCCTCCAAATCGTCTCCTTATGTCCCAGAGCCCTCTGCCAACCCTGCTTACTATATCAGCTGGCCATTTCCCCTCACTTACTACTTACATTAAAACGCTAATATTAGGACTGGAGAGATGGCTCACAGTAAAGAGGGTCTGTTGTGGAATATTATTTATGGTGTGTTATGTTTGTTTATGCTGTGGAGCATTTGATTAATGATGGAAATCATTAATTTGTTGCTTTTGTTTATACAGCATCTG